GTTAAATGTATTTGTTCCAATTCTGTCGTTATTGGTGTCGTTAATTTTCAACGCCAATCCATCACTAATTTTATTTATTTTATTTTTTATTGAAAATTTTGGTTTTTATTTTATTTTTTAGTTTTTAAATTTGTGATATTCTCGGTAATAATTAGTAATAATTAATACTTCGAGAGGAGAAAAATATTATTAAAATCTAATTTTTTATTAAAAAATAAGTTTAAATTTATATTAACAAAAAAATATTTGTTAGTAAATTACAAAAAAAAAAAAAAAAATAAATAAATAATGAAATGTCACTCCTAATCATCCAATCCCTTTCCTCCTCATGTGCCTCTGTGGGAGGGATGTTAGAGTACTCGTGGCTCGATGAGAGGAATGATGGAGTTCTAACTAGTGTATAGATCTACGGATAGTTCGGACGTCTACGCCAATGTAGTCAAAATCAAGGCAAGTGAGTCATACCGAGACTACAGCCCTTGTATGGAACTCTGTTGCTACGTGACATTGTTTTACAACTCATCTTGTTTGATTTGCATCCCTCTATATCGTCCGTTTCACCTCCTCGTATTACCTCAAAACCTCCTCATTAGAAATGTCATTGCTATAATGTAACGACATGGAGGATGAGCTGGCGCCACTTGACTGGAACGGATAATGCGATGCCAACGAGCTTATATCACATACCCTTTGCTTTTTCTCCCCTAAAACCTCGAGGTATATGGCGTTCTTGTCAACCTCCGGTTCCGGGATTCCTTCCGTCGCTTGCATTGCAACAACTTCCTTTATGAGCTTTTCAACACTCCTATGTAATCGAAATAATTATAACGTTAAAAGATTAAAATAAATTTTAGATTATATTTGCATATATAAAATTTAAAAATTAAAAACACTTACCATTGTATGCTAGGTGCGTAAATCGATAAAAAAAACCATCATGTCGCTTATGAGTGGTCTCAAACAGACTTAAAACTTATTGGCTTAAGTCTCAATTTTGCCTCTTGAAAATAATGAATCACAAACAATATGAGATAAAAATCAAAATTTTATTAAATATTTAATTAATAATATAAAATATGATTTATCAAGTAACGAGCATGGTCTTTCGAAGAGATGGATTCCTCCGTATGTCCGGAAGGGCTCACACCAACCCATCGGTCTCTAACATCCGATTTCGCGACACTTACTTTGAACGAGTCTTACGATTAGGTCTAGTAAAATCTTGATACCACGAGTCTTAGACCTTCCGCCTAATAAAATGAAGCCATTCAAACATCGAACCATGGCTATAGACGAAGTTGGAGTAGCGCTTCCTTGCCAAAGCCTTCAAAGCTTCTTTAGCAATCGCCACGATGGCCGGCTCTCGGTAAAAATATTTTTGCATGAATTAAAAAAATTAATATTAACTACTTAATTTAATGTTAAATTAATATTTTAAATATAATAAAATAAATTAATAATACGTATCCTAAATTCACTATTATAGTATTGTTTAGTGAGATCCGAGGTGGACTTCCATGTCGGCCGCCGACGTCTAACTACTCGTTTGAAAATTTTGGTTATCCTAGTGGAATAATCTCTACTAGGTAGACTAAAACCGTTAAACATAAAAAAAAAATAACAATAAGTAATTATTGAAATAATATATTAAAATAAAAATAATAATAACATCGTCTTTAAAAAATTATATACCGATCCGCGAGCGACGAAATAATCCATCGACTAGATGAGCTTTGGGAGCTCTCTAAAGTGATATATACATTGATAGAAGTGGCACCCGCTTCTATCGATGCGAGAGCCTATATTGACAAGGGAACCTCTATGGGCGGAGATGCTATAGATGTGCTGGCTCTATGGGAGGGAACGGAAGAATGTCCATAGCCTCGAGAGTCGAGGGACTCGCGTACAACACTTGAAGTGGAGGTTCAACCCAAACCATGTGTCATAGTTGTATAACAGAATCTAAGACGAGTTGAACAAATTATCGATATTAATTACCAAATTACAATATTATAATCAAAATTTATCTAATTAATTTAATAATAAACTCATCTAAACATAATAAAATTAATTCTAATCCAAACATTAAATAAATTTTGAATATCAATATTAATTAACAAATTGCAATATTTTAATAAAAAATTTTCTAATTAATTTAATAATAAATTCAACTAAACGTAATAAAATTAATTTTAATTCAAATGTTTACTAAATTTTAAACATCGACATTAATTAAAAAAAATTGCAATATTGTAATCAAAATTTATGTAACTGATTTAATAATAAATTTAACTAAACGTAGTAAAATTGTTTCTAATTCAAACATTTACTAAATTTTAAATATTGATATTAATTAACAAATTACAATATTACAATCAAAATTTATCTAATTAATTTAATAATAAACTCAACTACCTAATTAATAAAAATAAGCAATTTAAACTGACCCTAATTCAAACGTAATTAAATATTAAATATCAATTAATTAACCAATTGGACTATAATTAATATTAAAAATCAATTAATCAATTCAAATAAGCATAAATAAATTAATCCTAAATCAAATTAACTTAATTATATTAATCCTAACTAATTATAATATTAATCCTAATTGAAGTGTTAAATATATTTTAAAATAGCAACAAACAATTAACAATAAACAAAAAAAATAAAAAATAACAAATTAGCAATTAATTAACAAAATTTTAACCTACTAATTAATAAAAAATAACTAACAATTAACAAAATTAACCTAATAACTAACCACACTAATCTAATTAAAAAAAGATCTAGAGAGAGTGAGAGAACAAATTACCAAAGGAGAGGAGGGAGAGGAGAGATTGCCAACGGATTTTAGAGGGAAAGTTACACTTTGCGGAACCGAGTGAGCTGGGGAGGGAGTAGAGTGGTGTGGGACGAGTGGTTAGGGGCTGTTGAGGGTGGCGGTAGCAATGGAGGAGAGGATGAAGAGAGGGAAATAGGGGAAATAGAGAGAAGACAAAGAGTCTAGAAGTTAAAAGGGTTTAAGATTAGGGATGGACACATTTCCATCGTTAATCCATTGTTAAGTAGCAATGAAAATAAGTTTCCGTCGCTAATCCGCTCCAATTGTCCGGAAAGATCGAGAAGTTTGCCTAAATTTGCAATGAACACTTATTTTCGTCATTAATTAGTAACAAAACAATCATATCCATTGCTAATTTTAATTTTCTACGATCGTCAATTTTATTTACAAATGTTTATAAATTTGCGCAATTATCGACATAACGCTATCCGTCACTAATCAGCAATGAATAATCTCCATCGCTTGGCCATTCGTTGCGCTTGGCGACGAAATTTGTATTCCGTTGCTAAAGTTTCTCGCTAATTCGTTGCCGATCTATTGTACCACACTTGATAGCAACGAAAAACATTCCGTTGTTAATTGTCCGTCTCAAAACCGTTGTTGATCCATTACTAAATGATTTATTTTTTATTTCATTGCTATTAAGCGGGTAAATGGCAATATAAATGAATCCGTTGCTAATTGCCTATTTTCTTGTAGTGTTTGTACCACATTTAATTTTTTAATGTATTCTTTTACTAAGTTTTTCTATCTAAATCGACATAATTATATTTTTCATTCTAAAATCACAATTTAGCTATATAAAAAAATAATTTTGATTTTAAAAAAAATAAAATCTTTATTTTTTAAAATTTTAATTGTTGAGTAATCTTCAGACTTTTTATTTCATAAAGATTTTGAGCATTTTTTTCGCTATCATATTCTAATATAACTCAATACGATTTTAGAATGGAAATATAATTTTGCCCAACACATTGAAAAACTTAATTAAAAGACATATTAACAAATTAAATACTGTATACGGATATAATAGATATAATTAAAAATACGAAGACATATTGTAAACTTGTTTAATTGTGTAAGGATAATAGAACTATTTACCCAAAGTTTTATGATCTCAAATTACCGGTCTTAGTCTAAAGAAGAAAAAGTGTTTAAAAAGCTGGTTAAGGAGTCATAAAGGAATTTTTTTGGGTTTTTCTTTTTAGCCTGATTGAAGGTTTATTGGGTCATAAATTAGATGATATTCATAGACTTTCTGATTCTACAGAAAATTTCTCCAATTTCTGGTACGTATGAGTGGAATTTGATATGTTTTAGATATTATGTTTCTTGCTGCTTTCGAAGGATCAGAACACAACAACATGTTCTAGAGGAACTAAAGGCAAACTAAAGACAAAAGAAAAAAGAAAAATGATGTTAAAGGTCACTGTGTTAAAGGAGGCAAATCTCTAGATAGTAATAATTTTGTGCATTTTACCATGTAAAGAAGAGTCTTCACTCAATATTTTTTTATATATATATAACTGCTGGACATATATTTTTAGACCAGTTTATGCGTCATTTGAAATTACTATTATTATTACTTTTGGAAAAAGAATTGACTTAAAAGTTAAAAAGTAGGCAGCGAGCCCAAAGGGATCCTCCAGGAGGCTGAGGCAATAAGCAGAAAGAAAACCAGGTTTGAGGGTTTGTTACAGCAAGACTTCTGGTTCACATATTTTTGTTTAGTCAAACACGTTAGTTTTCTTCGTCCTTATGGTTCTAGAGAAATTAAAGGTTTGACTTGCATAAAATCATACTCAGAAATTTAATTGGAAATTGGATTTATAACCAAAACAAGTTAATACATTTATTCGATTTGCATCTATATGCGTTGCCCATAGGCAAACAAGAAGAGTATACATATTTATGCAGATCCAATCATAGAAAAGTAAGACAAAAAAAACACCTAAATCTACCTATAATATGATCTGGGTAACACCTTATTGATTTAAGTAACTAACACAGCACATGCTATGGTGGAGTACTCAGACCAGCCGGCTATTGAAATCTTGGTTTGGTGCCATTATTCCCTTATTGTTGTTTGCTAATACCAATGGCCACACTCATGTATATTTTTCGTTTCCTTTCTTTTCCCCTGCTAAAGGGTTAATCAATAATAAGGTGGAGTTGTTGGAGCTGGGGCATATGTGTATGTGACTGGTTCAGCTGGACCCGGAGCATAAGTGTACTTCACTGGGTGGTCTGGTCCTGGTGCAACATAACCAGAGCTTTTGATATCAGCCATCAATCCTCTTCTGACATTTCCCTCGTGCACCTCACATAATTTGGGAAGAAAAACACCTGCCAGAATCGAGAGAGCGATTGTGAGGGGCATGCAATAATAATTACTTGGTTCAATTATCTGTTTGATGAATGGTGGACAAGTTTATTAGTTAATTACCTTCAGCGGCAGCGAGGTTGAAGTATAGATCGACAACGTTAGGGCAGCTGTGGTAGCACTGAGGAGAGCAAAGTTGTTGAGAGAAGCGAGATTCGAGAAGAGAGTCGGACGAGATTCCAAGTGACTTTCTGTCAAGTCCACATGCTTTGATGCATTGGTCTTTTTCAATCCAGTTCTTCAATCTATCAGCCTCAATTTCGGACGTGCGGCATGTGTATGCTTCTTCTCCGGTCCTTTTTATGCGTTTCTCGAGCAAGCAACGCTTGCCGGACGATGAGATTGCATAGGCACAGGTGTCTTGGTCAAGACGCTCACATATTATTTCTCCTGCAATAATAATACGATTATGATTCAGTAATTTGCTTAAGAAAAGTGAACGTCAGGGGGGCTGCTCTCTAGCTTTCTAGCATCGCTACAGAAATAAAGAAATGGAGAGAAAAAAATCTTTGCTTACCTAGAGCAGCTTGCACACAGATGGCAAGGGCCAGAACCAGGATTGACAGAATTTTGAAGCTAGAAACCATGATTAGGCACCGTTGATTAAAATGAACAATACTTGGTGCCTAAGATTCGTTGGCTTCAAAAAGTTGGTAACAACTTTAATTTGTTAGTTTGCCTTTGTCCTATGAAGAACTTGTTGTGAGGAATGAGGAGCAGGATGTGGATGCATTTATAATTGTTTAAGGGCACTGTACAATTTTGGAAAACAATGAGAGGAAAGTTACGGTGACACTCAATGTGTTTTTCTTTTCTTTTCTTTTTCTTTTTTTAAACAAGAAAAATGAAATGATAAGTGGGTTATCTCACATTTTTTTACTGAAAAATATTAATTCTATATCAACACTATTTTTATATAAAAAAAAACTCCATTGCATCTATGTTAAAGTTCAAGTTTAATATTTTGTCAAAAATATCTATGATTATATGTAAAAAATAAATATACTATCAATTATAAATAACAATAAATGAGATTCAAACTTTTAACTATATAAGTGAGTGTTTTTAACTTGAGAAATGCTAGCAACACCTTTTTTTTTTTTTAACACTCTTTTTTAAACAATTACTCAAAAAAAATGTTCATTTCAAAATTTTTTTAACTAGTTCTAACATTCAAGTAAAAAAAATAGCAAACAAAAGATAATTAATGTTCTTTATTTTTAGAAAGTTTTTAAATCCTCCTACTACATAAACAAAGTTTTTAGAAAGTTCTAACATTCAAGTAAAAAAAATTATTTTATTTTTATATTCTTACTTGATTTAATTTTATGTTTGAACATATATTATATTTCTATTTTATCATTCTGGTAAGATTTTCAAACTGAACTACTTGAATTAATCATATAATTTCCATATAAAAAGGTTTCATTTATCTGACTTGAAAGAGAATTTTAGAAATAAAAAGCAGTTATATATAAATAACGTGACTAATTATGATAGTTTGGTTTAAAAATTTTACTAGAATGATAGATTATAAATTTAATTTATATTAAATGATAAAATTCAGTCAATTAAAGATGTAAAAATAGATTGAAAAATTATCTCATTATATAATTACAAGTTAAACTATATATTAAAAAAAAGATAGAAGAAGAAGAAGAAAAACTCCCTTCTAATTTGTTTTGTATATATTGCAATAAATATGCCATCATATGTCCTCCTACTACAGCCAGCTAGCCTACAGCAATCAATCGCGCACATGTTAGTTTATTATCTGAACCTGGATACCTTTTTCCCAGTTCCTTAAGTGATTAGTTCACTTAATTAGCTTGAGGTGCATCATGATTTTCATTTTATCAAAAAAATGATCATCACATGTAAACAAGATCCTATAGCTTGGATCCAATTACTGGGTTAAGGGGGTCAGCTTTCATTGCTCAAAATCTGAAGCTAAAAGAATTCAATAAAGGTTAAACTAGTTCAGAGGAGGCCCTGAAATGTTCCAAATATGTGTCTATCTATCTACTGAAAAACAGACGTAAAGAGAAGGAAAGGATGCATTAAATCTAGAGAAAACATAAACAAACTTAACGTGGAGCACTAGCCATTCTTTTCCCTTGAGAAATAATTAAAGCAATGCAAGTAGGTTAGGTTAATTGAATAGTAATTGGTAGCTGATCATTTTAATTACCATTTGTTTGACAATTCCATTGGTTTTGACTTTTCATTTAATTAGAAGCACAAAATCTTCACTAAAATCCGACTATCTATCTCACATTGTTTAGCTTTTTGCCGTTAGTTTCCGTTCACATATTCATGTTTAGTCAAACAATTTAGTTCTCTTTGTCCTTATTGTCAAAACAATACTCACAAATTTAATTGGAAATTGGATTTATAATCAAAACAAGTTAATATATTTATTCGATTTTCATCTATATGCGTTGCTCATAGGCAAGCAAGACAAATACACATATGCTGATCCAATCATATAAAAGGAATACACAAATTACACTCAAATCAACCTATAATATCATCTGGGTGACACCTTATTGATTTAAATAACTGACACAGCACTTACTAGCATGCACACATCATGCTAGTGGTGGATGCTTGCCGGCTACTTAACTCTTGGTTGGTGCCAATCTTCCCTTATTGTTGTTTGCTAATATCTATGGCCATGCACACGCACGTATATTTTTTGTTTCCTTTCTTTTCCCTTACAAAAGGGCTAATTAATAAGGTGGGACTGTTGGAGCTGGGGCATATGTGTATGTAACTGGTTGGACCGGACCTGATGCATAAGGGTATTTCTCCGGTTGCATTGTTTCTGGTGCAACAAAACCAGAACTTTTGATATCAGCCATCAATCCTCTTCTGATATTTCCCTCTTGAGCCTCACATAATTTGGGGAGAAAAACACCTGCCCAAGAAAAAGAAAAATTGTGAGTGGTATGCAGTAATAATTACTTGAGTTCAGTTATCAGTTTAATGAATGGTGAACGAGTTTATTAGTTAATTACCTTCAGCGGCAGCGAGGTTAAAGTAAAGATCGACAACGTTAGGGCAGTTGTCGTGGCACTGAGGAGAGCAAAGCTGTTGAGAGAAGCGAGACTCAAGAAGAGAATCTGACGAGATTCCAAGTGATTTTCTGTCAAGTCCACATGCTTTGATGCATTGGTCTGTTTCAATCCAGTTCCTCAATCTATCAGCCTCGATTTCGGACATGCGGCATGTGTATCCTTCTTCTCCAGTCCTTTTTATGCGTTTCTCGAGCAAGCAACGCTTGCCGGACGATGAGATTGCATATGCACAGGTGTCTTGGTCAAGACGTTCACATGTTATTTCTCCTGCAATAATAATACCATTTTATGATTCAGTAATTAATTTGTTTTAGAAAATTCAAGAACTTGAATGTGGGCTGCTCTGGCATTGCGAGAGAAATAAAGAAATTGAGGGAAGAAATTTTTGCTTACCTAGATTACCTTGCACACAGATGGCAAGAGCCAGAGCCAGAGCCAGGATTGAAAGGATTTTGAAGCTAGAAACCATGATTAAGCACCGTTGTGATTAGAACTATCAGATACTTGGTGCCCAAAAATAGTTAGGCTTCAAAAAGTTGGTAACTTTAATTTGTGAGGAATGAAGAGGAGGGTGTCGGGGCATTTATACTTGTTAAGGGCACTGTCGAATATTGGAAAATAGTGAGAGGAATTTTACCCCTTGTTTGGAGAGGGTGGAAAGTGTGGGAGAGGAAAGAAAATGGGGTGAAAAGAAATGTTTCTGCCGTTTGGGAAGAAGAAGGAAAGTAGTGGAAAGAAAAAAAATAATAAACAATATAAAAACGATGCTATCCATTTTTCTCCTAAAATTGGGAGGAAACGGGGAGAAAAGGCTGAGAGAAATCTTCTTTTTTTTTGTTTTTGCATTTTTTCCCTTGCAGCTGTCCCCCTCATTTACTCTCCACATAACAGATCTACAGAACAGATCTCCATCATCCTGAATAATGGAAGCAAAAGTTCACAATCTCTCTCCTATTTTTCTTATTCACACTCGCACTCGCACCCCTTTGCAAACAACACTGATACTTCGAAGGTCCAAAAAGGAGACCCAATCACCATTTTCTTATTCACACTCGCACTCGCACCCCTTTGCAAACAATCACAATGGAGGCTGTAGCTGCTGCGATTGGATCAGCATTTCTCAACAGCATCGTTGATCTTTTGGTGCAGAAGTTGGATTCTCCCCTGGTTCTGGATTTCTTCAAACGCCGAAAGCTCGACAACAGACTGATGGAAACGTTGGCAGAAACATTGAATTCTATCAGGTGCTGATTTTCTCTCGGGTGATTTTGGGCTGACACTCAAAGGTGTTACCTCAGATCAACTTGGCATTGCACTAAAAGTTACCATAACAAGTAATTCAACAACCATAGTTGCTAACCCAGCTACTAAAGCTGAAATTTAGGCAAGAATTCTGCAGATAAAAAAGGGCCTTGCTCAAGAGAGAAAAGAGGAAGAAAAGACGCTCAAAAGAGAAGGAGAAAGGAACTGTCAATGACAAAACTGTATCAACAGCTGTGTCTCTACTTTATTGATATAAAGTTATTTATATACAAAGAATCTTCCAAGTTCTACTAGGAAACTAAGAGATATACATTGGAAATAATTTAAACGAGCAGGGACTGCGAGATGAAGAGGAAGCCTCGCCTTGGTTGGTCCGTTAGTTTCCAATACGCCCCCTCAAGTTGGAGCATGGAGATTGCAAATGCCCAACTTGCCAACTAAGAACTAAAATTGTTGCTTACCCAATGCTTTAGTGAAAAGATCGGCAAGCTGATGTTGAGAAGCAATATATCGACGGACAAGCAAACCACGTTGAATACGATCACGGATGAAATGACAGTCGATCTCTATGTGTTTGGTTCGTTCATGAAAGACGGGGTTATTAGCAATATGTATGGCAGTTTGATTGTCACAATAGAGTTGTATAGGGGAAGAATGAGGCACGGTCAAATCGAAAGCGAGTTGTCGTAACCAAATCAATTCACAAGCAGTAATAGCCATGGATCGATATTCAGCCTCGGCAGAAGAGCGGGAGATTGTAAGTTGTTTCTTGCTTTTCCAAGAGATAGAAGAATGACCAAGGAAAATGAAGTAGCCACCGAGTGAACGTCGAGTAACGGGACAACTAGCCCAATCGGAGTCACAATATGCTCGCAAGAGATAAGTCATTAGTAGATGATAGGAAAATGCCTTGACTCGGTGCCAATTTAAGATACCGCAATATCCGTAAGGCGGCTTGCCAATGCCCTTGACGAGGTTGATTCATGAACCGAGATAAAATGTGCATCGAGTAAGAAATGTCGAGTCTGGTTATTGTCAAATATATCAACCGCCCAACTAACCGACGATAGGAACCGGGATCATCAAGTGGGCGACTATCATCGAGAGCCAACTTATGGTTCCGTTCAATAGCAAAATGACAAGGCTTGGAAGCAAGCATACCGCTTCTTGTAAGAGATCCAATGTATATTTTCATTGAGATAAGGCAATACCTTTAGGGGAGCGAGCAACTTCGAGACCAAGGAAGTATTTAAGGTTTCCAAGATCTTTGATGGGAAACCAAGCGTCCGAGTAACGTTTGAGAGCAACAAGATGCAAGTCATCATTTATGGCAATGACAACATCATCTACGTAGACAAGAACAGCGAGTAAAAGAAGTCCCTTTGCAATTTAAAAACGAGAGAACTATCGACTTTGGATTGAGTAAAACCAAAACGAAGAATGGCAAGTAGAAAATTTGGTGAACCATTGCCTAAAAGCTTGCTTTAAACCATACAAAGACTTACGAAGGTGACACACACGATCATCATTAGGAGATAAATAACCGAGTGGGGGCTTCATATACACTTCTTCATTTAAGTCACCATGAAGAAATGCATTATGAACATCAAGTTGGTGAAGAGTCCAATGTTTAGCCGCAGCGATCGCTAAAAGAGTGCGAACGGTGGTGAGTTTAGCAACCGGTGCAAAGGTCTCGGTATAATCTAGGCCTTCCACTTGGGTATACCCTTTAGCCATAAGACGTCCCTTATACCGTTCAATTGTTCCATCGAATGATATTTAATTTTGTACACCCATTTGCACCTAATGGCTTTCTTTCCCGGAGGCAATTTCTCTAATGTCCAAGTTTGATTCCTTTCAAGTGTTTCAAATTCACTTTGCATTGCTCTTTGCCATCGAGGGTCTTTACCGGCTCGTGAATAAGATGTGGGCTCATCATTTTGAGTGATGGCCGTGAGATAACAAGCATGGGGTGATGAGAATTTAGAATAAGAAAGGTAATGAGATAGAGGATATGATGTACCCGAGGAAACTGTCTTGGGATGAGTGTGGGATAAACCTTTATTAGTTCCCGGCAAATCAACATAGAAGTCATTGAGATGAGTTGGTAGTTTTCTATTTCGCGTGGGATGACTGGATTTAGTATGAATTACCGAGCCTTGATCAATAATGGGCTCGACTATCTCTATGGTGCTAGGTGGGGGCATGGTATTCGTCTCTGCATCTTTAAGGTTCTCGGTCAATTGAAGTGGAGGTTTGAGTGGAGTCATATATATCTTGCACATCGGGTTCTATGGTGGGTAATGGTATGGGAATGGTTGGTTCTTGAGGTGTCATTGATTGGTGTGGTCGAGTATGAACAGGGAAGATGTTTTCATAAAAAACCACATCACGAGAAACAAAATTTTTGTGGGTTTTCAAGTCATAGACCTTGTAACCCTTTTGGCCATAGGGATAGCCAATGAAAATGCATGGTGTGGCACGCTCATTGAATTTATCTTTAGACCTTGGAATAACCGATACATAGCAAAGACAACCAAAAACTCGAAGATGCAAGTAATTAGGTTTGTGAGAAAACAAGACTTCGTATGGACTCCTTCCGTAAAGGATAGGTGTGGGTGTATAGTTTATCAAGTAGGCTACGGTTAAGACACACTCACCCTAAAATTTAATGGGTAATTCCGCTTGAAATCTTAAGGCTCTTGCAACTTCAAGAAGATGCCTATGTTTTCGTTCTACAATCCCATTTTGTTGAGGTGTAGAAACACAAGAGAATTGACTAAGGATCCCATTTTGTTGACAAAACAATTGAAATTTATGATTGGTAAACTCTGTCCCATTATCACTGCGGATCCGTTTGACATGAAAATTGAATTGTCTATATACCATGGCAACAAAGGATGTTAAAAAATAGTAAACCTCGGTTTTTCTTTTCATTAAGTAAACCCATGTAGTTCTAGTAAAATCATCAACAATACTTAGGAAATAATGGGCATCGGATAATGAGGTAGTTTGATAAGGACCCCAAATATCACGGTGAATTAATTCAAATGCATTTTGAGTCTTAATGGAGCTAGTAGGAAAGGGGTGACGAACTTGTTTTGCTCGATGACAAGTATCACAACACTTATGAAAATGCTTCGTACCGTGAGAATTCAAGCCATCAATGAAAGACAATCTATCAAAAGACAAATGACCAAGATGTTTGTGCCATAGAACAAAACCAGCATCATGAGCGAGTTTGCCGAAGCTACGGGGATGTTGATTGCTCGAAAATAATAAAGACCATCCCCGAGTTCACCCATGCCAATCAGCTTCCTCGTGACTAGGTCCCGTAAGGCACAAAATGAGGGAAAAAAATGAGCAGCACAATTTAGAACTTTGGTCAATTTGCTTATGGAAATAAGATTACAAGAAAAGGAAGGTATGTAAAGGACATGGTTTAGTTTGATATGTGAATCAATGGTAACATTCCAGCAAGACTTGACTGGAATGAAGGAACCATCCGGAATTTTAACGGGGAGTTGAGGTTAATATTTCTTTCATCATGCAAGATATTCTTTTGGCAAGTCATATGGTCGGTAGCACTCGAATCAAGAATCCATTCAATTTTATCATTGGACGAGAAACCGCCTTACCAAAGAAAGTTAGCCATTGGATTAATGTCATGATCCTTCTCGAGGTTTAACGGAGACATAAGTTGAGTGTACTATTTCTTGGAAAGACCATTAATTGGTGATACCATGGATTGCTCTTCCGTTTCCATGATCCGTGCTTAATTTGCCGACTTTCCTTGTGTTGATTTGGACTTGTTCTTTTCCCACCAATCTGGATATCCATGCAATTTAAAGCACGTATCATTTGTGTGCTTAGTCTTCTTGCAGTGATCGCAATATAGTTTTGAAGTGTCACGATTTCCCGTTATGGTGCGAGAACCGATCGGTTTTGAATTACCTCTAGCCGCAACAAATGCAGCAGCTTCAACAACAGTCATTCCTCTTGATGCCGCAACCTCGTCGCTGTCTTTCTTCTTGGGAAACACGTGCATATGCTCGTGCTAGAGAAGGTAATGGGTCGGTATCCGGAATCCGAGAGTGCACCACACCGTATTTTTCATTCAATCCCATCAAGAATTGATGAACCTTTTCTTTTTCTTTCTCAATTGCAATAGCCTTGGTCGCTCCACATGTGCATATTGGAATTTGAGAATAAGTGTTGTACTCATCCCAAAGCCCTTTTAGTTTTGTGTAATACACGGATATTGACATGTCTCCTTGCTGTGTATTCACAATGTCTCGTCTTCGGTTGGTGTACACGTGGGGCATTCCCTTGTGAAAAGCGTTCTTCCAAATCAATCCACATCTCCCTTGCAGTATCAAAGTACGCAACACTATCATGGAGGGATGGGTGAAGAGAGTTGAATATCCATGAGATAACCATGGAGTTGCTTTTAATCCAAGCTGCAGCATTTGGTGAATCAGGTTCAGGACGAGGTAGGGTCCCATCAACAAAGCCAAATTTGTTTTTGGCTAATAATGCATTGGTCATGGCTCTTCGCCATGTTGGATAATTTGCTTCTTTGAGAAAACAGGAAACTAGGATGATGCCTGGGTTATCAGATGGGTGTAACATGTATGGAGAAGATAAATCATGTGTATTTTGGTTGGAGTTTGTGTTTGTTAATTGGGTGTTCGTAGGTACAAGTCTTTGCTCTGTTTCTTCCGCCATGGTGAAGAAAAAGAAGCCCTAGTTAACCTGCTCTGATACCATGACAAAACTGTATCAACAGCTGTGTATCTACTTGATTGATATAAAGTTATTTATATACAAAGAATCTTCCAAGTTCTACTAGGAAACTAAGAGATATACATTGGAAATAATTTAAACAGCAGGGACTCTGAGATGAAGAGGAAGCCTGCCTCGGCTGGTCTGTTAGTTTCCAATAGTCAACATAGTGCGAACGGCCATCATTTTTGCCATTTATGACCACCAAATAGATATCATCTTCTCCCCTATTCTTTTCTATTAACTAGGAGGGAAAAAAACACGTGTGAGTGGGATTCGATGCATTTGGTGCCAAATTAAAATGGAAAAAAGCATGAAATAGCAAGGCAGAGATGTTAGCGAAAAATGTCCAAAACTGAACATAATAGGGCTGACCAAGAAACGGGATTTAAGAGTGATTTTCTTCTTGTTCCTGCATAGTTAGAGTTGAAACTTATATCTAGGGATAGAGGAACATTAGGAATTGAATTTACACTCTTTTTTTTTGCAGTCATTTAGGAAGAAAAATCAAAGAGAAGGAGGCCACAAAGTGGCGGGTCAAGCTGTCCAAAAGGAAAGGCTACTGGAATGGTTACTGAAAAAATAGAAGTTTGGCTGGCATCTGACTTTTTGTTCCATGATTGTGAGGGGATGATGGACATGATTCACTTGTGTTAGAGTACTTACGATTACATCCAGAATCACAGCATACTAATGGCCAAATCAGTGGGCTTTTGATTCACAGAGATCGTTTCTGTTTACAACTATTTTAGGCTAGTTTTTTATGTCTTTTTCACTTGATTTTTTTTAACTTTTTTTGGATATACATGTTTTTGAAGTGTGTTTCAAATTTCAAAATTTTTAAATGTAATTTGATATTTATTTTGAGTTTTTTTTTTCGTTTTAGAGATCTACGATGATCTCTCGTAGAGTTTTGATTTCGGTTGCAATGAATATAGGATTCGTTTATGACTTAGATGCTTTTAATTAGGAACTGTTGTCAATCCAACAATTCTCTTTTTGCCAGGGACCAACGGTGGTCTTGGTAAATTTTGAAACAGATAATGCTGCCCTTTCAAGAAAGCTCTCAGAGAGAATTGCTAAATTATCTGGTGGTATGGCTGTAATCAAGGTTTGTGTTCAAGTACTCAGAAAGAATTGCTAAAATACTATACAATATTATTTTGGAAAAATGGATGGGCATCTTGACAAATCTGGCTACAAGTGCGAAGAATTACTGCTAAGGACATTAAACTCCTAGAGTGGCATTAAGTAACAGGGACGAATTTTCTGCTCTGTTTTCCTTAAGAATTATAAAGACAAATGACAGGCCTCTAATCTTTTGTTTGGTGTTGTTTTATTGTAAAGTGATCTTTATATTTAACTTGTTAGAATGCAATGTGCATAAACAGAGACTGAACTTGAAGATAGAAAACTCAGAATTGAAGATGCAAAGAATGCTACGTTTGCTGCCATGGATGAAGGGATAGTACCTGGTGGGGGTGCAACATATGTTCATCTCCCGGAGCAGATTTCCTCAATAAAAGATTCCATGGAAGATGAAAATGAGAAGATCAGTGCTGATATTGTTGCAAAGGTCTGTTCTCGGTTCTTTTCTTTTGCCAGAAGTTATTTGCTCTATACTTTTGCCTCACTGGCATTTGATCTAAGATGGTTTATTTTCTTTCTTGAGATGTGCCTTTATGTATGTTTCTTTATTTGGATCGGTGAATTTTGCATTTCAAATGGAAACAAGCAGCTTTTGTGAATCAGTTACCACGTGCAAGTGCTATAGGGGTTGATACTAAAGCAGATTCGTGCACAAGGCTTGTAAAACGAACCAAGGCCCCCTTAATCATTAGTTGGTGATTTTTTATAATTACTGATAAAGTGGGACACTTTCGTGAATTGGTTATAAATGCAGTTCATAGCATGGAGAAACCTAACACGTGTACTAGTTTCTAAATGACTCGAAGGGAAATTTCTTCTCCGATATAGTAACACTTGCCAATGATGCATTACAGGCACTTCTTGCACCTGCAAAAACAATTGCAACTAATGCAGGGGTCGATGGAGCAGTTGTGGTGGAGAATATTCGATCTCGTGACTGGAGAACTGGTTACAATGCAATCAATGGTAGATATGAAGATCTCCTGAATGCAGGTGTGGTAGATCCTTGTAGAGTTTCTAGGTGTGCACTTCACAAAGTGCCGTCTCAATCGCTGGGATAGTTCTAACAACTCAAGCAGTGCTGGTTGAAAAAATAAAGAAGCCCAAGCCTGCTGTCCCTTATGTTCTTGGAATTACACCATGAGAAAAATGGAAACGAATTTTGTTAAAATCTTTGAAAGAAGCTGAAGAAATTTTATCTCTGATGGCTCAGATCAAAGGTTTTGAGTGGGCTGTAAAATCTTCTATTCTAATAACTAAGCAACTAGGCAAATAGGAAGAGTAATCTCCATATCCAAATGTCCTCTGTAAAATCTTCAATTGAAGTTAGTCACTTACACAATTTATGCAGAAAGTCACCTTTATTCTATCAAATTGATCCTACAACTTACCTAATTATATGTTGTGTTTGCACATAATTTTTTCTCCCATTTATTTATTTTAAGTATTACAAAAATACCCAAAAAAATGATAAAACAAATCAAGCAAAAAATAGAAAAAAAAAAAAAGAGCAATTAGAATGGCCTAGTTTAGATTGATTCAAAGAAGAGAGCTAATTGAGAAAAATAATGGGTTGGAAGTAATTCAAAAGACAATCAAGGCCATAATTGAAAAAAAATCAAACACCCAAAACACCCCCAAAAATACAAAAATAATATACCCCTTAAAATAGCCATGAAACACCTCCCCAAAACTAGCTCTCAAACAGCTACAAACAAGCCTCAACACACCCTAAACAATAGCCCCAAAACAGACCTAAAACCTACCAAAAGCTGAAAAAATCAGCTCTAAAACTATTATCAACAGCCCTCCAAAACCCTTACAGAGCAACCCTTTTGGATAGGTAATTTGAACCACCGAAGCAGCTCCAAAAATACCCCCAAACCAGCTTCAAAACCACCTTAAAAAACCCCCAAAAAACCCTAAAACAATATGCCTAAAACCAACCCCAAAATAGACCCAACACCTACCAAAAGCTCCCAACTCAGCTCTGAAACTAGTACTAATAGCCCCCGAAAACCATTACAGAGCAACTCCTTTGGAAGGCCATTTGAACCACCAAAGAAGCTCCACAAACACTCCCAAACCAGCTTCAAAACCACCCAAAAAAAACCCAAAAAACCCTAAAAAAAGAGGCCTAAAACCAACCTCAAAACAGACCCAACACCTACCCAAAAGGCCCCAAACTCAGCCCTGAACTATTACCAACAGCCCCTAAAAACCCTTACAGACCAACTCCTTTGGAAAGGCCATTTGAAACACCAAAGAAGCTCCACAAACACCCCCAAACCAGCTTCAAAACCACCCAAAAAACCCCAAAAAACCCTAAAAAGAGAGGCCTAAAACCAATCCCAAAACAGACCCAACACTTACCCAAAAGGCCCCAAACTCAGTCCTGAAACTATTACTAACAGCCCCTGAAAACCCTTACAAAGCAACTCCTTTGGAAAGGCCATTTGAACCACCAAATAAGCTCCACAAACACCCCCAAACCATTTTTAAAACCACCCAAAAAAAACCCCAAAACATACCCAACACCTACCCAAAAGGCCCCAAACTCAGCCCCGAAACTGTTACCAACAGCCCCTGAAAACCCTTACAGAGCAACTTCTTTGGAAAGGCCATTTGAACCACCAAAGAAGCTCCAAAAACACCCCCATACCAGATTCAAAACCACAAAATAAACCCACCAAAATAGACAAAAAATATCCATCAAGATAGCCCCTCGAACACTTTTTGGAATTACCGCAAAAGAAGAAATAAAAATTATTTGTGATTTGTCTCATTTTTTGGGATTCAATTGACTTTTCATGATTGCTCGCAATGTTACCATATACTCTTTTTTTTTTTAATTGCTAAATAGTAATTGTTTATTCTATAAAAAAAAAGCGGAGAAAATGATGGGTAAAAGCAACTAACTTATTATATGCATAGATAATAATACATATTATACATATTTAAATTAATTTTATGTTGATAATTAATCTAAATTGGCTATTGAATTAATTAATTAATAAACAGTTATCGATTATTCTATGGAGACGATTCACTATCTATCTTATCATTTCAGATATATGCTACATGTTATATTTTTATTTTATTATCATTTGTGTTATTTTCATGAAAAAAATATTCATATAAATTTATTATAAGTATTTAAATATAGAAATATAATCACAAGGGTATTATAGTAAATATATCATAATATATTTTCTTTCTTTTCTCTTTTTACAATTATCCAAACAAGGAAAATGTATTTTCTTTCTTTTCCTTTCCACTCTTATCCAAACAACAAGTGAAAAATGATTTTCTTTCCTCTCTCTTTTCTTTTCTCTCACTTTCTATCATCTCCTTTCTTTCCTCCCAAGAGGAATTATCCAAACAAGGGGTGTTCACATATTCCTGTCTAGTCAAACACTTTAGTTCTCTCTGTCCATATGGTTCTGGAGAAATTAAAGGTTTGATTTGCATAAAATCACACTCACAAAGTTAATTGGAAATTGAATTTATAACCAAAACAAGTTAATACATTTATTCCATTTTCATCTGTATGCATTGCCCATAGGCAAACAAAAAGCGTATACATATATATGCTGATCCAATAATAGAAAAGTAAGACACAAAACACACCTAAATCTACCTATAATATCATCTGGGTAACACCTTATTGATTTACGTAACTAACACAGCACATGCTATGGTGGAGTACTCAGACCAGCCGGCTATTGAAATCTTGCTTTGGTGCCAATATTCCCTTATTGTTGTTTGCTAATACCAATGGCCACACACATGTATATTTTTCGTTTCCTTTCTTTTCCCTTACTAAAGGGTTAATCAATAATAAGGTGGAGTTGTTGGAGCTGGGGCGTATGTGTATGTGACTGGTTTAGTTGGGCCTGGGGCATAATTGTACTTCACGGGGTGCCCTGTTTCTGGTGCAACAAAACCAGAACTTTTGATATCAGCCATCAATCCTCTTCTGATATTTCCTTCTTGCGCTTTACATAATTTGGGAAGAAAAAGACCTGCCAAAATACAGGGAAAAAAAAAGATTGTGAGGGACGGATATATATGCACTAATAATTACTTGACTGCAATTATCAGTTTAATGAATGGTGAACAAGTTTATCAGTTAATTACCTTCAGCGGCAGCGAGATTAAAGTAAAGATCGACAACGTTAGGGCAGCTGTCGTAGCACTGAGGAGAGCAAAGTTGTTGAGAGAAGCGAGACTCGAGAAGAGAATCTGACGAGATTCCGAGTGATTTTCTGTCAAGTCCACATGCTTTGATGCATTGGTCTGTCTCAATCCAGTTCCTCAATCTATCAGCCTCGATTTCGGATGTGCGGCAGGTGTATGCTTCTTCTCCGGTCCTTTTTACGCGCTTCTCGAGCAAGCAACGCTTGCCAGACGATGAGATTGCATAGCCACAGGTGTCTTGGTCAAGATGTTCACATGTTATTTCTCCTGCAATAATAATACCGTTATATGATTCAGTAGTTTGTTTAAGAAAATTCAAGAACTTCAAGGTGGGCTGCTATCTAGCTGCAAGCGTTGCTAGAGAAATAAAAAAATCTTTGCTTACCTAGAGTACCTTGCACACAGATGGCAAGGACCAGAGCCAGGATTGAAAGGATTTTGAAGCTAGAAACCATGATCAGGCACCGTCTATTAAAATTAACAATACTTGGTGCCCAAAATTTGTTAGGCTTCAAAAAGTTGGTAACGACTTTAATTTGTTAGTTTGCACTTGTTGTGAGGAATGAAGAGCAGGATGTGGATGCATTTATATTTGTTTAAGGGCACTGTACAATTTTAGAAAACGGTGAGGGGAAAGTTACGGTGACGCTCAATGTTTTTTTTAAAAAAAGAAAAATGAAATGATAAGCGGGTTATCTCACATTTTTTTATAGAAAAATATTATTTCTATATCAATACGATTTTTTTATTAAAAAAAAAAACTCCATTGCATCTATGTTAAAGTTCAAGTTTAATATTTTTTCAAAAAGATCTATGATTAATTATACGTAAAAACATAAATATACTATCAATTATAAATGACAATAAATGAGATTCAAACTTTTAACTATACAAGTGAATGTTTTTAACTTAAGGAATGATAGCAACACTTTTTTTTACGCTCTTTTTTTAAACAATTACTCAATAAAAATGTTCACTTCATTTTTTTTTTTAACATCCAAGTAAAAAAAAAAAAAATAGCAAACAAAAGATGATTAATGTTCTATATTTTTAGAAAATTTTTAAATTAAAATAAATTTTATATTATTTAAAAGTCTAAAATACTCATCTTTTTATTTGTCTAGCCTTAAAATTATCTAAAAAAACCATAAAGTTGAAATCAAGAATCAAGAATTATCTTTTATTTTCTTTTTTGAATACAAACACCGACTAATTTATCTCTACAATAAATAAATAATTATTATTACATTGGCGCTTTATGTAAAAGAATAAAAAAATATATTTTAGTTTTTTAAATAATATAAGATTAGTTGTAATTTAATTTTTTTTAAAAAAAAACATAGAACATCTTAGATATTTGAGTTAGTTAAAAAAAAAATTGAGGTAGACATTGTGATTGAGTTAAGTATTTTTTTAAAACAATATTAAACAAGTATTGCTAGCATTTTTCTTCGGACTTTTTTGTGACAACCATTGGCATGCTGTCAATGCTAAAACATGTGTTTACCAAGGTTTTGTTTGAGCTGTACGAGTTAGTTATTGGTCGAGTTCCAACCAACCAACTTCTGTTTGAACTTTAAGTTCTGAAGTTAGGCGGGTCCTTAGATTTTTTTTTTTTTTTTTTTTTGGGGGCCGAATTTTTGAAAAAGACCCGGGTAGATTCAACTCGTGGATCTAACTTTTGACAAAAGCAACGCAATAATTTTAATTTCTTGATTTTAAAAAAAAAAATCAACCCCAAAAGATGACTCATTAGTCATTAGCGCTTGATTTACGCTCCTTGCCCGAGATGAGATCATTGAAAAAGAAGTAAATTAACTCATTCGTCCTGCACTCCTGCTTATGACTAACTTTTTCAAAT